GGGCCTCCAGGAAGGCCAGCAAAGGCAACAAACACTGATTTGTCGTAGGTTTTTGCAAGATTTTGACATTTGCTTCTTTTCGGCCTTTCGACGGCCCGAGACGGCCCAAGAGCCCCCAAAGATCGCCCAAGACGTTTCCAAGATGGCCCCAGAACGGCCCAAGAGGCCTGCAAGACGGCCCCAAGAGGCCCCCAAGACGGCCCAAGAGGCTTTTAAGACGCCCAAGATGGCCTCCAAGACGGCCCTGGAGCATTCCAAGAGGGCCCCAAGTCGGCTCAGAGAGGATCCCAACACGGCTTCCGACGGCGTCGGACGGGCCAGGGGCCCACCAAGACGGCCGAAGATGGCCATAAGATGGCCCAAGACGGCCCAAGAGGGCCTCCAGGAAGGCCAAAATCATTGATTTCCCATGAGTGTTTGAAGGATTGTGGCATTTGCTGTTTGTTCGGCCTGCCGACGGCCCGAGGCGGCCCAAGTGCCCTCAACGATCGCCCAAGAGGCCCAAGACGGCCTCAAGAGGCCCCCTAAGACGGCCCAAGAGGCCTCCAAGACGCTCAAGATGGTCTCCAGGACGGCCCACGAGCCCTCCAAGACGTCCTCCAAGAAGGCCCGAACGGGTCAAAATGGCCCCCAGACGGCCAAGACGACCTTCAAGATGCCCACGTGTTCCCCGAAGGCTTTCCAAACCGATTCGGGGAACGCATGGTCCGCTAGCTTGGCAGGTCTGGCCTCAACGTTCGGCCACACAGGCGCTTCCAAAAAGGCAGGGGGCGGCGGTGATTCGCCGCAGGCGTCTTCGATCCGCCGCCCCACGCTGAATTGCTACAAAAGCACGGCGCGCCATGCTTTTTGAATGGTGTGGGGTCTCGGCCGATCGCGCCGCACACCCGGCAAGCCGCGCAGAATTTGGGAGGCAGGGCCCCTGACGCTCCAGGGGCGGTGAAGATGGCCGCCAGGATGCCTCCAAGACATGGCCCCCAGAGAGCCCAAGATGGGCCCACGATGTCTCCAAGACGGGCCGAGATGCATCCAAGACGGCCAGTATGGCCCACAGACTGGCCAAAACGGCCCAGGAGGCCTCAAGAGGGTGCCAAGACGGCCCAAGAGGCCTCCAAAAGGACAACCAAGAAGGCCCAAAGCAGGCACAATCCGTGAGTGAAGTTTGCAGCATGCTGCCATTTGCTCCTTCCGGGCCTTCCAAAGCCTTCCGGCGGCCCAGCAGGCCCCCAAGACAGCCCCAAGAGCGCCAAAGAGGACCCCACGATGGCCCCGTGGCCGCCCAAGAGGCCCCCGAGACAGCCGAAGAGGCCCCCAAGACGGCCATGAAGTGCCTCGAGAAGGCCCCAAGTCCGCCCAGAGAGGCTCCCTAGACGACTTCCGACGGGCCAGGAAGGCCAGAAGACGGCCAGGGATGCACCCCAAGAAGCAACGAATGGCCTCCAAGAGGGCCAAGGAGGCCGCCAAGAGGCCGCCAAGAAGCCCACAGGAAGCTCGCAGGAGGCCCACAGAGTGCCCCAAGGGGCTCGCAAGGAGCTTCCCCCTTGTCCTCCCCCTCTCCTGACCCCCCCTCATTCTGCCCCAAGTGTTCCTTTAAGAGATTCCAGATCAGGAGGGGGAAACGTAGTCGGACAGCTTGCCAAAGCTGGGGTCCAATGTTTGGCCACAAAGGCGCTTCCCAAAAAGTGAAGGGGCGCGGTGATCCGCTATACGCGTCTACGATAAGACGCCTGGAACATCATGCGCCCATACCAAAGACAAAGAACGTGCACGACGACCATAGAGTCACACGGAAAAACTTCGAGACCATTCGCAACAACTCGTTGGTGGGAGCCACCCGATGTACAATAATTGTTTGATGTTCCCAAGTGGCCTGGACACTACTCACAGTGGCCTGGACACTACTCACACCTAAAAGAACTGACAATCACAATGCTTCGTGACGAATAAAACTGCCCCGGCACGCAAAACGCAACACGTAGCGTGTTGACACGGACCTCAACACGTAGACTGACAACGTAGGTCTGGCGCGGACTAACGCGTGCGGATCCAACACGCCGCGTGCTCACACGGACGATTGAAACACGATATCAATGTGTTGCGTTTCAACACGGGCGTATCAGGGCAGCTAGCGAAGGTGGCGCTTGCCTTGGGAACATTCGGCAGCGCGTTTCGAACCAGGCGGTGCCCCCCCCCACACTCGGCGCCGTCGATCAAAACCAGGGGGACCCCCCTCCCCCCCAAACCCCCCCCTCCCGAACCCCCCCCTCCTCGGCGCGGCCGCCAGCAGCGCCGACGGCGGGGACGCAGCGACGATGACCAGGGGCAGCCCAAGGGGTTCAACCCCCCCCCCCCGGCGCCGGCGCTGGCGCTGGCGGCGGCCAGCATCGCTGGCGCTGGCGCCAGCGACGGCGGGGACGCAGCGACGATTACCACCACTACCACCACCACCACTACCACCACCACCACCGCCTCAACCCACCACCACCACCATCAACCCACCACACAACCACCAGCACCACCACCACAGCCACCACCACCACCACCAACACCACAACTCACCACCACCACCACCACAAAAACCCACCACCACTACCACCACCACCACCACCATCTACCACACCACCGCCACCACCGCCACAACCACAACCACTACCAGCAGCACAACCCACCACCACCACCACAAACCACCACGCCACAAACCACCACCACCACCAGCACCGCCACCACCACCACCACCACAACAAACCACCGCCACCACCACCACAACCACCACCACCGCCACCACCACCACCACCACAACCCACCACCACCACCACCACCGTCGTCCTCGTCGACGCTCCCCGCCGCCGCCCGCCGCCGCCCGCTGCCAGAGGCGCCGGCACCGGCCCAGCAAAGGAAATCGTCGCCCGCCAGCCGCCGCCGACACAGGCGCCGGCCCGAGGAGAGGGGAGGACAAGGAGGGGGGGGGTTCGAACCCCCCCCCCTCCGTCACGGGAGGGGGGGGGGTTCAAAACCCCCCCACCTCCATCCAGGGGTGGGTGGGTGGGAGGTCCGGTTCCCCCCCCCCCCTCCAAGCGACCACAGAACGCGCTCTTTCGAAGGTGACGAAGTATGTCTGGGTGCTGGGGGGGGGCTGGAACGCCCGAAATGAGGACGGAGAGAAGGACAATATGCCCAACGGCAAGTGTTGTACAAAACCAGTCGACGGCCGCGTTCGGGCAGGCGACGTACCTCCCAAGTGGACCACGTTGGCAGAAATTGTGTCAACGAATCCTGCTCAAAGCAGAAATTGTGTCAACGAATCCTGCTCAAAACAAAAAAACGCTGTCGCTTTTCGCTTGGGAGAAGCTCGGACTATACACTAAGTCGTCCGGTCGGCCAAGGAGTTCGGCGTATAGACGCCCTAAGCCCACAGCTGTGGGATGCTGGAGCGTCTATGCGACGAGGAATGAAAGAACAACACACGCTCAAATCTCTGGGGAATTGGGACGGGCAAGGCGATGAAGGCGCTGTGAGTATGAGTGCGAGTTGACGGACTCCGAAGGTGGGCTCAAGCTCGAGCGGGGACCCCCATCCGACAACACGCACCCATAGCCTTCCCTCATGGAATTCCTCCCGAGAAAATCCAGGGGTCGCATAGGTATGGGTGCAAAATGTCAGCTCATGGCCGAATCCCCTCGCGGAATCATTTGCTACGTGTTCGACCCAAGGACGCGGTGCATTAGAGGAACAACAAACTAAACAAGCATCAATTCTAGCGGAACTCCTAACGCTCGTGTGTAAGAAGTTTTTGCCGCTCGAGTAGTGTATCAATCGAGCGCCTCGAGTGCTGTACGGCGGGTTCGTGTCGCGTCGACTTCAGCGTTGGCTTCTGACACCGCGGGGATCGTTCAACCTTGGAACGATCGGCCGTTTCCGAAACGTCAGATCGTTCAACATCGACCGATTCTAGGTTGCCAGCGGCGTTCAACTTTGAATGCCGTCGGTGGCCTAGTTCCGCTGGCTTCCATCGCCCTTCCGTCGCCTTGCGCCGAGGAAGAGGTGCCAACTCTTCGACCCCTCGGCTCGAGGGCGATGCCACTTCTGGAGCGCCCCAACGTCGAGCCCTTCTAATCCGCCGCCGTTCACTTCTTTCCGCCCCCATCCCTTAGGAGTCCCAAAACGGTGTGGTGACGGACCCTGCGGTGACATCGAAATCCCCCAAAAGACCTCACCGCGCGGTCAGTCACCGCACGGCTTTGGTACCTCGGAGGCCCTAGTCGCCCGAGGGATCGCCCGAGACTTCCTCAGACAAGGGTCCGAGTCCCTTAGCCGTGCGGTCACCCTGAATGCTCCATGACTCACCCGACGATGCGGTCACCGCACCGTTTCACATCTCTCGGGGAGGAAGAGAGGGGGGGAGATCGACAGGTCTGGTCGAATTTCAAGCCATACCTTTTACATACATATATAAGATTATGGTGGGGATGTCAAAATATTCCTCTGTCTATATCTATATATATATATGAAATACCGTCTATTGTTCGCCGAATTCAAACGGAGAGGGGAGGGCTCGCGCTTCGGGCGCGTGCAGATGGGTTTCCACGCGCCAGGAGGCGCCAGAGCGGGCGGCGCCAACGCATCGAAATCTGCCTGGGCAGCGGGGCCGGAGCCAGCTGCATGCAGCAGCAGTTCTTCGTACCCCCCCCACCTTGCCCAATCCCCCCCCTCGTCGATGAGCGTTTTTTTTTTTTGCGACGTTTCGACATTGGGCGGAAAGGGAGGGGGGAGGGGGGGGTCTGGCTCCGGACCTCTGCCTAATCCGACTGTTTGCAAGAGTGCGGCCTCTGGGGGAGACCCTACCCGCCCGAAACAGGCGCCAAGGAAACAGCCAGGATCTACTCCAATGGGGGGAGAGGGGAGGGTTTTGGGGGGCCCGCGCCGATCGGCAAAACAATGCATGAGAAAACGATCACCGCCCACCCCGCGCCCAGTCGCCCACCCTTCGACCAGCGGAGCGCCTGTCGCTGGCGATGAGCTGCCCTCTGGCGCTGGACCGATGCCGGCTGACCTCGGGCGGGAAGTGTGGGAGGAGAGAGGGTGTCTGTGTGGCCCGTTGGGTGTTTGTGTGGCCCTCCCCGTCCCCCCTGGGCCGCACGCTCCGTCCGCCCCTCTTTCGGCCGCGCCCTCACCCCGCTCCTTCTCTTGCATGGTGGCATCGTTCGCTCTGACAACATCCCCGTGTAGGCATCCCATCGCCAGCGCAGATGTCCCCTGCCTAACCGCCGACGCCAAAAGCTTGTGTGGCCCGCTGGGTGTTTGTATGGCCCAGAGTGCGCCAGAGTTTGAAAATCGTCGAGTGCGGCAGAAAGGGGGTGGCTCAGCTGCAGGCAGAGGTCCAGTCCCCTCCCCCCCTACCTCCGACAAAGCGCCTACGATGAGCCCTTTGGGGCCTCTGATGAACCTCGTGGAGCCTCTGAAGAGCTTCGAACTTCTTGGGGCCTCTGAAGAGCTAATTGGGGCCTCTGCAGAGCATCTTGGGGAGATGACGGAAGTGATGGTGACGAGAGGAAGAGGAGGATGATTGTGACGGGGACGGTTAGGATGACGATTATGTTGGCAAGTATGCGCGTTGGGACGATTGTAGTTGTGATCTGGCTGCCTGCAGCAGGTCCGCAACCGTGCCAGTCTAGCATTCTAGGTTGCGGCTGCTCGGATCGCTGATGGTGACGATGGTGATGCTGCTGATGATGATGCTGGTGGTGATGGTGACGATGACGATGACAATGACGATAGTCAAGGTGATGATGACGATGATGATGATGATGACTATTATGATGATGATGCGGAGCATTCTCAATATTATGATGGTGATGATGCTGATGCTCCTGCTGATGTTGCTGCTGGTGATGATAATGATGATGGTGATGGCGACGATGATAACGATGCCGATGCCGATGGTGACGATGATGGTGATGATGATGGTGGTGATGATGACAACGATTACGATGACGATGACGACGATGATGATGATGACGATGACGATGGTGATGCTGATGACGATGATGATAACAGAAGAGGGTAAATAATACAGGGGACGTAATCTGGACTTCGACGATGACAACGACGACGACGGCTACGATATCACAAACGTGGAAAAGCAGGAGGACGAGTACTAACAGTTGTAATAGGTCGTAGTACCAGAAATAATCGTAGCCGCAATCGCTGTCGTAGTCGAAATAGTAGTCGTCATAGAAGTAGTAGTACTAGCAGTTGTGGTAGTACTAGTAATAGTAGTCGTCATAGTAGGCGTAGAAGTAAAGTAGAAGTATTAGTAGTAGTAGTAGTAGTAGTAGTAGTAGTAGTCGTAGTAGTCGTAGTAGTCGTAGTAAGTCGTAGTAGTAGTAGTAGTAGTAATAATAAAAAAAAATAATAGTAGTACTAATAGTAGTTGTAGTAGGTAGTAGGTCGTGGTGGTGGTAGTACTAGGAGCAGTAATCGTAATAGTACGAGTAGGAGCGTAGTGATAGTAGCAGTAGTGAAACAAGTAGTAGTAATCGTCACAGTAGTAGTAGTTGTAATAGTAGTAGTCGTCGTCGTCGCCGTAGCAGCATGTGTAGTCGAAGTTGTAGCAATCGTAGGCTCAGTAGTAAAGCTGTAGTAGTACTAGTAGTAGTAGTAGTAGTAGTAGTAGTAGTAGTAGTAGTAGTAGTCGTAGTAGTAGTAGTAGTATAGTAGTCGTAGTAGTGGTAGTAGTAGTAGTAGTAGTACTGGTAGTAGTCGTCGCAGCAGTTGTAGAGTAGAAACGAAGTACTAAGGGTTGTAGTAGTAGTCGTAGTAGTGATAGTAGTAGTAGTAGTAGTTGTAGTAGTAGTAGTAGTAGTAGTAAGAGTAGTAGTAGTAGTAGTAGTAGACGCAATCGCAGTAGTCGTAGCAGTAGTAGTAGTAGTAGTAGTAGTAGGAATAGTATCGTAGTCGTAGTAGTAGTACTAGTAGTAGCAGTAGTAGCAGCAGTAGCAGTAGTAGTAGTAGTAGTAGTAGTAGTAGTAGTAGTAGTGGTAGTGGTAGTAGTAGTAGTAGTACTCGTAGCGGTCGTCGTCGTCGTAGAAATTATTGCAGTAGCAAGAGAAGCAGTTAAAGTAGTAGTCGTAGTCGTCGTAGTAGTAGTAGTAGTCGTAGTCGTAGTAGTTGTGATAGTAGTAGTGGTTGGAGTCGCCGTCGTGGTAGTAATAGTAGTAGTAGTCGTAGTAGTAGTAGTAGTAATAGTAGTAGTAGTAGTCGTCGGAGCAATCGTAGTCACAGCACTAGTAGTCGCAGTAGTTGTCGTAGTAGTCGAAGTGATACTAGCGTGAGTACGAGCAGTAGTAGTAGTAGTAGTAGTAGTAGTAATAGTAGTAGTAGTAGTAGCAGTAGTAGTAGTAGTAGTAGTAGCAGTAAGGATAGTAGTGGTTGTAGTAGCGGTACCGGCAGTCGTGATCGAAACATAGAAGTAGTGGGAGTGGCAGTAGTATTCATATTTATCGGAAATGATAGCAGCAGTAATAAACATAGTAATCCTCGTTGTTGTACTAGTAGTAGTAGTAGTAGTAGTAGTAGCAGGCGTAGAAGTAATAGTAGCAGGTTAAGCAGTACTACTAATAGTAGTAGCGGTAGCAGTAGTATTATTCTAAGTGTTAGTAGTAGTAGTAGTAGTAGTAGTAGTAGTAGTAGTAGTAGTAGTAGTAGTAGTAGTAGCCGTAGTAGGAGTACTAAACAATAGAACAAGTGGTAGCCGTAGTAGCCGCAGCAGCAGTAGTGGCAGTAGTCGTAGTAGTAGTAGTAGTAGTAGTAGCAGTAGTGGTTGTAACAGTAGTAGTCGCACGAGTAGCAGTAGTAATCGTAGTCGTAGCAATCGCAGTCGCAGTAGTCGTAATAGTCGTGATAGTCGTAAAAATATGGGTAGTAGAAGTAGTAGCACGAGTCGTAATAGTAGTAGTACTAGTCGACGTGATAGTCGTAGTAGTAGTAGTAGCAGTAGTAGTAGTAGTAGTAGTAGTAGTAGTAGTAGTAGTAACAGCAGTAGTAGTAGTGATAATAGGACTAGAAGTAGTAGTAGTAGAAGAACTAGTACTGAAAGCAATAAAAGTAGTAATAGTCGAGACCGTAGTAGTCGTAGCAGTAGTAGTAGTAGTAGCAGCAGTAGTAGTAGTAGTAGTAGTAGTGGTAGTAGTCGTAGCCGTAGTCGTAGTCGTAGTCGTAGTAGTGGTAGTAGTAGACATACTCGCCGTATCAATAGTAGAAAGCAGCAGTAGTAGTAGCCGTAGTAGTAGTAGTAGCCGTAGTCGTAGTTGTAGTAGTGATACTATTAGCACTACTAGCCGTAACCGTAGTAGTAGTAGTAGTAGTAGTAGTAGTAGTAGTAGTAGTAATAGTAGTAGTCGTAGTCGTAGTCGTAGTCGTAGTAGTCGTAGTCGTAATCGTAGTCGCAGTCGTAGTCGTAGTAGTAGTAGTGGTAGTAGTAGTAGTAGTAGTAGTAGAAGTAGTAGTAGTAGTAGTAATAGTAGTAGTAGTAGTAGTAGTCGTAGTAATACGAGTCGGAACCGCAGTAGTAGCAGTAATACTAATAGTAATAGTAATAGTAGTAGTCGTAGTAGTAGTAGTAGTAGTAGTAGTGGTGGTGGTGGTGGTGGTAGTAGTATTAATAGTAGTCGTAGTCGTAGTAGTCTTCGTAGCCGTAGTAGTAGTAGTAGTAGTAGTAGTAGTAGTAGCAGCAGTAGTAGTAGTAGTAGTAGTAGTAGTAGTAGTGGTAGTAGCCGTAGTAGTAGTAGTAGTAGTAGTAGTAGTAATAGTAGTAGTCGTAGTAGTACTAGTACTAGTAGTACTAGTAGTAGTAGTAGTAGTAGTAGTAGTAGTAGTAGTAGTAGTAGTAGTAGTAGTAGTAGTAGTAGTAGTAGTAGTAGTAGTAGTAGTAGTAGTGTAGTAGTAGTCATACTAGTAGTAGTAGTAGTAGTAGTAGTAGTAGTAGTAGTAGTAGTAGTAGCGGCAGTAGTAGTAGTAGTAGTAGTCGTAGTAGTAGTAGTAGTAGTAGTAGTAGTAGCAGCACTAACCATATTAGCAGTGGAAGTCGTAGTCGTCGTCGTAGTCGTGATCGTTGTAGTGGGTGGTGGATGTCGTAGCTAGTAATAGGAAGAGCAGTGACAGTAGCGGTGGCGGTAGCAGTAGCAGCAGCAGTAATCTTATCAGATAGAGGAACAGAAAGACGACGAGGAGCAGAACGGGGACGAGGAGGAGGAGAGGAGCAGGAGGAGAATGAGGAGGAGACGAAAGGGGAAGAAGGAAAACGAGGAGGAGGAGGAAGACGAGTTCTATCCGTCGCCGAGAGAAAAGGGGGGAGCAAAACTAAAGAATTATCGAGGTTACCTGCATCCCTATGTCCGAATCTCTCGCTCTCACTCTCCCTCTCTCGCTCTCCCATCCCTACCAATACTGCTGATCACAGGGACCAAACACAGAAGGCATGCGAGGATGACACGGATGACCCACTAAGTGCAAGCACCGTTTGGGGAATACTTGGCCCGAAAGCGCGACCTGGTAGCCGAGGAAGGCGCCTGCTGCGCTGCGTCCGCTGGGGGAGCCGGTTGCAAGCGAGTGCAAAACTGGATTTTTTTGTTTTGAGCGTCCCTGCGAACTGCGAGTTGACGGCATTAGGATCGAGGGTCGACGCTGCCTCCCGGTGTTCCTCCTCCTCCTACTTCTCCTCCTCCTCCTCCTCCACAATTACTCAATATGAATACTACTCTCCCTCTTCCCCCGAAGGCGGCCTGAAAGTAGCGGACCCCCCCCCCGCGTACTGTTTTCTACACACAGGATTCCCGGGAGTTGGGTTTTCGCCTGCGTTTTTTTCAAAATGCTGCTCTCGCTGAAGCGCCGGCCTCACTTCTGCTCCCGATTTTTTCCGAATCGTGCTCCCGCTGCAGCGTGGGCCTCATTTCGGATCGGTGTTTTGCCTCCGTCGTTCAGGATGGCGTTCTCGCCCCAGCGCGGGCCTCTTTCTCGCGCGCCCATCCGCCCGCCACCACCGCGCCGCACCACGCCCCGCCCCGCCGCACGCACACCCACCGCCACTTCCACCCACCAACGCACGCACGCACGCACGCGCATCACCACCGCGCACCGCCACCACCACCGCACTACCCCACCCACCACCACCACGCTACACCGCGTCACACCACATCACACGCGCGCACACACAAACACACACGCACGCACGCACGCACATACACACACATACACACGCACACGCACACACACACACACACACACACACACGCACACACACAGACACACACACACACACACACCACCACCGCCACCACCACCACCACCGCCATCACGCACGTACGCACCTGGCCCACCACCAAACCACCAAGACGCCACACCACGTCACACCACAGCACACGCGCACACACGCACACACACATACACACCACACCACAACAACCACAACCACGCACACACACGCACGCACGCACGCGCACCACCACCCACTACGCACACGCGCGCGGAGCCACAGGTCCGCTACGACACGCGTCCGCGGATAGAGAAAATCAGCGCCATGGTAAGGGATGGGAGGGAGGGGTAGGATGTCAGATGTTGACGCGAGCGCACCTAACTTGTCTGCCTCCCCCTCCTCTGCCTCCCCCTCCTCCCCCTCGGCCTCCCCCTCTTCTCCCTCTGCCTCGTCTGCCTCCCCCTCCTCTTTTTCCTCAGACGCCTCCCCCTGTGCTCCTCCGTGCTGCTCCCGCGGTTCCGCTGCAGCCGCAGATCATGCCGTGGCGCCTGGGAACCGAACGGGGAGGACGGCTCTTGCTTTGCCGCGGGGCCTCACGGCGGCAGAGCCTGCCCGGGCTCCGGGCGGAGTCTGGGGGCCTGCCGTGGCAAGATAGGACAAGGCCGATCGCCAAGCGAGGGGACAAACCGAGCACACACCGGCACGAGCTCTCGGCTCGGCTCAGGCTAAGGCCACTTACACCTGGGGCAGTTACCCTCGTTGGGGAGCGAGCCAAGCGCGAGGAGCCTCTGGGTGATCTTACGGGCCGCTCGCGCGGCGCCCCGCCACTCACAGTGAGAGGGGGGGGATAGGGCCTGCCCGGCCTGCCGTTCCAGCCCGCGAGGGGTGGCGAACGGGGTGCTGTGAGGCGTGATGCGCAGCGAGTCGGGGGGCGGCAGGTCGCGCGGGGTGGGAATCGCCAGGATCACCGCGGAGCGCGAGTGGCGTCGGAGGAGGTGGTCCTCCGGGGCGGCCGTCGCAGCAGCGCGGGAGGGGGGGAGTCAATCGTCGAAGGGAATGCCGAAGTAGTGGCGGTCATAATCGCAGGGCCCCTCAGAGCAGTGACGGCACAAACTCACATGCACCTGTCCGCCACCGTCCCTGCCGGACGAAGTGGAGCGCCTCCAAACCTCATGCTGTCTCATGGGTTCGCAGAGTCTTGGGACGCCCAGATCCTCCAGGACGGCCCAAACATGTGCCAAGAAAGCCCCAACACCGTCCAGAAAAGGGTCCCAAGACGGCCCAAGATAGTCTCAAGACGCCAGGTGAACTCCTCCTCCTCCTCCTCCTCCTCCTCCTCCTCCTCCTCCTCCTCCTCCCCCTCCTCCTTCTCTTCCTCCTCCTCCTCCTCCTTCTCCTCCTCCTTCTCTTCCTCCTCCTCCTCCTCCTCCTCCTCCAGGACGGCCAAGCACGCCCCCACGGCGCTCCAACAGGGCTCCAAGAGGCCCTTATAGAGGGCGGCCCCAGAATCACAATCATTGATTTCCCATTGGTGTGTGAACTGCTCGGGCATGCAAGCCTCCAAGATGGCGCAAGAGAGCCCCAAGATGGCCCAGGAGGCCCCTAAGAGAGCCCCAAGAGGGGGAACCCGACCCGACATTTCGAGCCCTTTCCCCAAAGATGGTCCCCGAGACCACCAGCATGCCCCGAAGAGGTCCCCAAGAGATCCGCACAAGCCCAAACTATGCCTCCAAGAGGCTCTCGAGAGGACTTCCCAAGCGACCTGAAGAAGTCTCTAAGAGACTCTTTGTTTACGACCCTGTCACGGCGGCGGAATGTGCCGGAGCTCTCAATGTGTAGATGCGTAGCTACACACGTGCAACATGTATGCACATGTACGCACCTCATCCTTGCCGAGCAACAACGCGCGCAGCCTCTTCGCGGCCCGCTCCGTGCCTTCTCTGCGGACAGCCTCCCAAGTCGTCGGGTTGCAGTCTTAAGACGAAGCGACGCAGCCAGGACGAGGATCAAATATCGGAATCCGACGGTTCTGAAGGAAGTATCGGGCGCCACGGCCTTCTCAGAGCCTCCCAGAACGCTCTGAAAGCGCCCTGGAACGCTCTGGAACGGAGTTATCTGCGACCTGGTTCCGACCGAAGTTTGGCGGCGCGCACAAGGGGGTGGAGGAGGTGGGAGAGCCTTTTAGAAGGAGGCTGCTTCTTGGAAGGCGCCAGCCTTACATCTATAGATAAGGCCCTCGCCTTCCAAGAAGCAGGGGTGCTTCTAAGAAGCCCTGCCCCCTCCCCCCACCCCACTCTGCGCGTGGTTGAGACATGTGTGATCCCGAGCCAGCGGCTCTCTCTCTCTCTCTCTCTCTCTATATATATATAAATATCAGAAGGGCCCGGCTCGATGGGTGCGGTGAGCTAATCACCAGACGCTGTGAGCTCTGCTAGGCACCATAATCACGTGGAACGGTACGGGTCTGGAGGTGCCACGCCTCGAGCCACGCGCGCCTCAGCGAGGGATCCGAGGCGACCAGCCGACGCGTGCAACAAAAAACACACCAGAACCTTCATTTAGGTCGGGCATGTCCCCCCCACAGGCGGATTTTGGACGGAAAATAAAACATACTCGAAAACGACTCAAGAATAGTCAAACAATTCTCAAAACATCGTCCCCTGACTATTTTTAGACTAAGTTTGAATACTTTCCTGTATAGAGGGAGAGGCCCGACTTAAACCTTCATGAGAGCAACAAGAATCATTACCACCAAAACTACATTGAATTCCCTTCCCAGAAGCCACCCCCCCGAGCTGGGGGCACCCCGTTCAGGGGAACTCCGTGGGGGCGCGCCCGGACCGGGGTGCCACCAGCTCGAGGGGGGGAGCGGCCAGCCCGCCCTGCTGGTGTTGGTGGCTTTTTCTTCTCTGGTGGAACCTTTCCGCGTGGCGCGATATTCTCGATCAAACGCTTTGGACGCCCGAAATAGTTACAGCAGCACGCTGTATGCTGTCCAGATACGGCAACGGCCGCTGTTGGGCAGGCGGCTCTCTGTCTCCACTGGACGAGGTCAGCCACGCCGACAGCGAAGCTGGCTCAAAATGAACACGAACTACTGTCGGCCTTCGTCCCTGCTCTTGCCGTACGCATATCGATCGTGCCGAAGCGCCCTCACCGTTCGAATCCCGCCGCGGGCTCCTCCAAACCCATCCGTCGGCGCTCCAGCTCCTCGGTCAACCTCTCCGCCTCCTCCGCGTCGTAAGCGAAGTCTTTTGCGGGCCTGCAGCTGCGGCCGTCTCGAACCTGCCCCGACGGACACAGGGCAATGGCTCACAGATAAAACAAAAGCACAACGCACTCGCTGTCGCCTCGCACCTCTCGATTTGATATTTCTCTCTCTCTCTCTCTCGACTTCGCCCCCCGCCTCCCTCCACCTCCGCGCCCCAGTCCGTCTCTCCGTCCGCCTCCCGGCGGTCTGCGCACTCGTTTCCCCCAACCTCCATCCTTGTCGTTCGCCACTTCACGCTTTGGCCTCTGTCTCTGCCTGTTTCCTGTCGCTGTCTGTCTTTTCTTGTGCTTGCCTCCACCTATATTGTTGACCCCTGTTTCTGACTATGCCTGCGGGTGCCTTTTTGCGGCTGCGTCCGTTTGCGGCTCCTCCTGCTGCTGCTGCTGCTCCTGTCCACTCCTGACAGGGCACGTTTCCGTCAGCCCGCTCCCGTGTCCGCCGCCATCAACTCGAAACGTCTCGGCTCAAGGTTGGCCTGCAATGGTCCACCGTCGAAGCCTGCCAGCCGTCGCAAACGACGAATCGCATCCGCCCTTTAGGGCGCAGGTGGTTTAGAGTGGTTCCTCTTCCAGCCCCCTTGTTTCCTTTCGGGGAAGGGTCTCGCCGCTCTCCCCTTACCCCCTCCCCTTAAAGCTGGACGTGGTTTCGCGGGTAGTAGGAGCGCTTGGGATATACCAAAGTGGCTCCAAGAGCGCCACAGAGATCCCCAAACGACCTCCAAGATGGCTTCCAATCTGCTCCAAGAAGTCGCCTCACCGATCCAAAGCGTGCGCAAGTCCCCCAAGATGCCCGAACCTTCTCATTGTTTCGTGTCCGATGGCCTTCCGAGGCCTGAAGAAAATTGTTCCGGCATGACCCAAAAGAGCCCCAAAACGGCCCCCAAGAGCGGACCAAAACACGTCCCAAGAGTGCGCTAAAGTGACTGCTGAAGCTCCAGGGGGGGGCAGAGGGGGGACGCTAATTACCCCCCCTTCTTTGATCGAGCTCCCCTACGGCGGTCCCGAAAAAGGCACCCGAGGCCCCCAACAGGGCTCCAAAACGATGTGTTACACTCCCTCCCCAAGGCCCCCAGCGCGTCCCGCCAGAACGCCTGTTTGCCGCCCCGCCGCGGCCTGAATCAGACCTTCTCGGTTTGCTCCCGCGGTTCGCCGATGCACAGCTCGCCGCGGTGCTCAGCCACGCTGCGCTGGCCGAGCTACAACTCGATCGAGCGGCTTTCCTGTATGCGGACGCTGTCTTGCCAGGATGCGATCGCGCTTCTTCCTTTTGGCATCGCCCGTGCTGGACTTGCCATGCATCCAAGTCATCTGGGCAAGCTGCTCCCAGCCCCGCCCGTCACTTCGCCGAGTGCGCCCCGCGTGCCGCGCACATCGCGCAGGGCCCGCGCGCCTCCACGCAATGTTCGCGAACACCTGGCTGGCTAGCTTCGCCCTGCGAACGCCGCCCACCGCTTGGTTGCCGTCCACTCGCGGCAACCCTAGCTGCTGCCGCGATCGCCGCGCGCGCCTGCAGAGACCCAATCGCCCCCGTTCGGCTGGTCCCCGCCGACCCCCGCGATGGCGAGTGGCAGCCTGACTCCCGCAGTTTCTTCCTCCTGCGTTTGGTTACCGCCCTTTTGCCGCACGCTGCGCGCGCCAGCCATTTGCCCGTCCGCTCCACTTCGCGCCTCGTCGGCGCGATCTTCGGCTTCGCAATGCGCCTCCGCGGCCGCCCAGGTTTGCGTTTGGGCGCGTGTGGCCAGTCACCGCCCTTCTGGTGGCACCAGCAGCCCGCGTTCCGCACCGCCAAACACGCCTTCGTCTCGAGCGTCTCCAGCACCTGCTGCTCGCCGAAGTGCGCGCCCTCCTCCGCAGCCCCCCTTTTGCCAGCAGGCCCGCTGCGCCGCTGCCTCGAGCGACCTCGGGCTCGATCCTCGTCTGAGTGTGCTTTTGCATGGTGCGAAGAGCCGACGCCCAGGTCGAGACCCCTAAACATTGTGCCAGATTAAACCCCAAGATCTGCGCGTGGTCTCTTCCAGCTCGCGCACCGCCCCTGTCCTCGCAGCAGTCTGTCCACGATCCTCCCGCGGCCCGTGTAGATCCCGCAGGGCGGGAAGGTTTACTGCAACACCTTCAGGAATACCCACATCTCCACGCGCTTGACCTTCCCGTGCAGGTGGGGCTTGCGCGGCGACGGCCCCCAGAGCTGCACGTTTGCCACGCCGTCGTCCGCGAGCGACATCGCCGCCCAGCCCGTCTGCGCCCACTCGCTGTCGCCGAACTTCTAGCCGTCGCGGGCTATGTCACCCGCGAGGTAGATGTCGCCCCTGTCGCCTCGCCCTTGCACTGGTCCTCGCTGACCCCTGCGAACTTCAACTCTGCCTCTGGGCCCCCGGCAAGCCCGCGCGCCCACCGGAAGCCGCCCACGTGCTGCTCCGCGACACGCTGCCAGCCCGCCTGCGCCCGCAGTCGCTGGGCCCTTGCGCGCGCAGCCCGCGGCGCGGGGCGCGCGCGCCCAGCCCGCGTCCCGGGCAGATAACCGTCGGCACCAGGTTGCACTCGCAGGGCTCGCTCATGATCCAGCTGACTCCGATGTGCACCGTCTTCGCCGCGTTCTTCGCGTACTTCGGGCATCCTCTCGCATCCATGTGCGACGCCGCTGGGGCCACTTACGGTGCTGGCTGCAAGCTCTGGTACTCGATCTAGTTGGCCCAGTCCATGCAGAGCTCGCTTTGCACGTCCCTGCGCAGCGTCGCCGCCGCGCCCCGGGGGGCGCGCCTCCCTCATGCCCATGACGAAGCCCTCTTTGGTCCTCATTGCTCCAGCAATCCATGACCACATGCAGTGCTGGCGGGGATTCTCCCTGACAGTTCCCCGAGCAGCAGGATTGACTGCCTCCGTGGCGTGGACGCGCGATGCGACTGGAGCGGCTGGGTCACAGGGCCAGCAAGACGTGGCCGAGCAGGAGCCCCATCGTCCACATTCCAAGCGGAGGTCCTCAGCAACGGAGTTGCATACCTGAGTGCGCCGCGACCGCTACTGTTCAGAATCGCCGAGCCTGACGACTTCGGCAAATCCTTCTAGCGGCCTCTGTCTGCCACATCGCCTGCCCTGCGATCGCGACGCCGCGGACCATCTGGGGGGCCGCCCAACGAGCCGGGGCGCTAGTCCTCAAAGGCGACCCCGCGCAAGCAGCCAGCAAGGGATTTGAAACAAACGGAGAGTCCCACCCCAAGACGTATCCAGATCCACCACTGCGGCCAGACAGCCCCGCAAGCGGCGATGACCCGCGAGTCCTCCACCACGGAGCCCGCGAACCGTAATATGCACATCCAGACCCCCGTCTGAACCCTCAAGCGGGTGGCTCGGGTGCCGGAGCTAAGGGCCTCAACGTAGAACGCGACCACATAGGACTAAACATATGTGCTGTATAATGTGCCAGAATGATCGTTTGCAACACCCGGTTGTTGCTCTCGCTTCCTCGCGCGACAACGTCGGCCTGACCTGCGTCCACGGCCCAATCGCAACTGAAGGCGATGGCGTGCAACATCTGTTCTCACACGCATATGTGACCTTTAACTTCTGCGTTGGATCCGCCAGCGGAGAAAGAGAAATAATAATAAAACATGAGAAAAAAAACAAAAAACGCACACACACACACACACACACACACACACACACACACACACACACACATTTTCACACATTCACACACACGAGCGCACACACACACACTCACACCTCCAAGAATGTGATCAGCGGCGGCAGCGGTCACATATCAGCTGTGGACTCATGGCGCGCCGATCTGGGCACGCCCACCCCGCTCGCTTCCATTGCGGACTGACGGCCCCGCGCAGGGTCATGGGCCCCCGCCCAGCTAGGATGCATGCCCACCTCGGGCTGCTATCTTCGCCATGGATGCGCAACGTACCTGCCGCGTCGTCCGCCGCGGACCCTGCCCCCGCGCATCCGCCCAGCACGCGGCGACTCTGCACCTGGGGCGGGCTGGGAATTCAATCCTGCACTCGGCGACGCTGGACCTAAGCCTGGCCGAAGATGATACCCAGGAAATGCAGGAAGTGGCGCCGCTGAGCCCGGGGCGCAACCAAGATTCAATCCAGCGCGCGGCGACCTTGAACGCGCGGTCTGGTCTCGCCCTCGCCCAGAATTTACCCATGCGCGCCGCGCCGCCCCATGCTCGCCCGGCAATCGGCGCCTCCGCGACCTCGAAAGGAGCCCCCCAAGGCCACCGCCGACCGGATCGTCAAAACTCTTCACCCCGCGTTCTCCTGGTGGAGCTCCGTCCGCCTCGCGCCTGAGCATCCTCAGCCGCTCATCTGGCACCCCCGCCCACTTGCGCCCGTGCGACGCCGACCTCTTGCACCTGCATCTGTGCGCCCTTGTCGCGCCTGCGGCGATATTGCGTACGTCGCGCCGCTGGCGATCTGGCGCCCGCCACTGCGTAAATCCCACCAGCCCCCTGTTCCGCGTGGCCCCGCCGCCCAGCCACTTTCTGCTCTTCGTCTTCGACGGCGATCCACTGGCTATGATGCCCGCTCCTAGGTAAGGGCGCGCTCGCAGCACAGGCGAGCCCCTCTCCTGCATGTCCTTTGCGCCCTCCTTTCTCGGCCACTCCGCGATCGCCGCGGCTGCGCCTCTGACTGACATGCTGCTGAAGCTGAGGCCCAACTTGTCGAGCTCCTCGAGGCGCGCGCACAGGGAATTGCCGAACTCCTTCGCTATGATGCCGGCTGCTGCCGCGGCCGCGCAGAGGTCGTCCGCGCGAGCCCTCCACCTCGCCAGGGGCCTCTCCATGACCGGGCCGCCCACCGTTGACAGGATCTTCATCTTTATGGAGCCCACAAAAGACGTGCGCGCCCAGCTATGCACATGAACGCGGTCCCTTGACCAGCGAGACCGGCAGCGTGATGCGAGCATTCGCGCAATGCGGAATCTCGAAAACAATATGGATTCATGTACCTGTACCTCCTTCTTTCGCTCTGAAATCTTGAGGAAGCAGACCGAAAACTAGCTCC